ACCCTCCCCCCTCCCTCCCGCACCTCAGTCCTGCAGGGACTTGGTCGCGCGATCGCCGTACTTCTTCACCATGTCCTTGACCTCCCCTCCCTCCCTCCCTCCCTCCCTCCCTCCCTCCCTCCCTCCTTCCCTCCCTCCTGCGCCTCAGTCCTGCAGGTACTTGGTCGCGCGATCGCCGTACTTCTTCACCATGTCCTTGCGGAATTCGAGCTTCAGGACGGCGAGGCAGCGGCGGTACTGCGCGCTCGAGCGGAAGCGCGCGATGTCGAAGCTCGGCGCGTGCGGCATGTGCACGACGAACGCGTTCGGCAGCACGACGAACTCGTAGCCGGCCGCGTCCAGCTCGACGACGTGCGCGACTTTGTTCCAGCCGAAGCCGACGAAGCGCGCGTCGTAGTCCGGCACCCCGGCGACGCGCACGACGACGTACGGCTCAAAGTCCGGCGTCCAGTCGACGGTGTAGGACGCGGTGGCGCTGCGCCAGCGCGCGTAGTCGGTCGCCGCGTGTCCGCGCGGCCACACGTGGTAGCGGAACGTGAACAGCTCGCCGTTGTCGAGCATCGTCAGCGCGTCGGCCTTCGTGCGCGGCACCGACAGCCGGTAGTGCTGCGTCTCGAACGCCGGCACGATGAGCGCGCGCCGCCGCACGTCCATGTCGTTGAGCGCGACGCCGCGACGCAGGTTCTCGTACAGACCCGGCATCGGCAGGAAGTCGACGTCGACGAGGAACGCGTACGGCGTGCGCGCGTGCCGCAGCGCCGTGCTGCGCAGGAAGTTGATCGGGTAGAACTGCTCATCCTTGTAGACGACGTGGTAGCCGATGTTGCGGCGCCGCGACAGCGTCTCCGACGCGAGCACGTAGCGCAGGAACTGCTGCGCCTCGGCGTCGGACGTGTAGAGCGCGAGGCTGATCGGTCCCTCCCAGTGCTTGCTGATCGCCTCCACCATCTGCAGGCGATCCATGGAGAGGTGAGCGACGAGCGTGACGTCGGTGCCGTCCGGCGTCGGCTCGTAGTCGTAGTCGATGTAGTAGAGGTGCGTGCGGTGCACGACAACGCGCGCGCGGCGGAACTCGTAGCACGGGTCGTCCTCATCGATCGCTGTCAGCTGCAAGCCGCCACAGGGTATTAATTAGCCAGGCATGAGTATTGTGCGAGTGCAGAAAAAATATTTGGGAGTGCAATTTTTTCGTGTGTCTCAGCCAAGACCGCCGTAGGCATTCACGGGGGGGGGGAGTATGAGAGGGGTGGTTCCCCCATTAAAATTCCCAAATTAAACCACCGTGAAATATACAGCGTATACAGTATCAGACACAGTCAGAAATTGTTGAAAGACATTAGGCTTGCGTTTGTCTTAACATCGAATTTTTCTCGTAGACCGGATGATCCCTGTACAGTATGGATGCGTATCAGAATCTTTTCATATCCTCACATTTAAAGTGATTACGTCACCGTAAATAGTAAGAAAAATAAAATAATCCCACTTTTTCACAAAATATAAGTAATTCTGTTCACTTTTTATGGTTAAATTGCTGCATTAGTATACTTCTTATTTTACTATATTGTTCGATGTGAACATACACTCGTGACTCATACCATAGCAAGCAATTAATGTTAGGAACACTAATATCAAATGATATCATCCAAGTTTTTTGGATTTTTAACTAGTTGAGAAACAATCTTATCAGGTAAGAATTTGACGATACGATAAGTCCCGTTAGTTCTTACTTTTAATGTAAAAAAATGGAAACAAAATCTTTACAAATTTTACCATGGAAAATTCGTGATGTAGTCAATTTAATATCAACATCCTCACGTTAAATATTTATACCTTGACGTTAAATATTAACATTCTCATGTTTTAAATATCATCGCCCCCACGTTAAATATTAACATCTTTGTGTAAAACATTAACACCCTTAGGTCTAACGTTAACGCACACACATGATTCTAACATGTCAGTGGATTGATTTCTAATACCACCAAGTTAAATCTTGAATTAGGGTTGAGAGCGAGTGAGACGAGGGAGGGAAAGAGAGAGAGATGAGGGAGGAAAAGAGAGAGAGATGAGGGAGGGAAAGAGAGTGAGAGATGAGGGAGGGAAAGAGAGGGAGAGAGATGAGGGAGGGAATGAGAGAGAGAGATGAGGGAGGGAAAGAGAGAGAGAGATGAGGGAGGGAAAAGAGAGATAGGGAAGGCGACTGAGAGAAAGAGAGAGCGAGAGAGAGATGGTGGAGGGAAAGAGAGAGAAAGAACGAGACAGAAAGACTGACATATAACAGTTGAGAGAGAGAGAGAGTGAGGAAGTTTATATTAGGGAGGGAACCTTACCTGAGACTGGTAGTTCTCCTGCCGACCGGTGTCGCAGCCGAACAGTTCCCGCCTCAGCAGGTTCCCATCGTACTCGATGAACGTCAGGAACAGGTTGCGGAAGAACTCCATGTGCTTGTTCTTCACGATCAACTTCTGCGGTGCGTTCCAGTGAATGATCTGCAATGGGACAGTTTTCCTTTTTTTAAATGCCGCCCATGTTTAAACTTTAAAAATAAATGAACTGTTTACTTACTAATACTGCTGCTTGCCAAACTACCGCTAGAGATAGAGTACAGAAGGGGAGAGAGTGTGTGCGCGAGAGAGAGAGAGATAAAGAGAGAGATTCCCGTTACAAATATTTAAGAGAATTAAATTCTTACCTTCAGGTCGGACACTTCGCTGTAGCACAGTTCACTGCGCGTGTTCTCGCTAAGCTGTATGTTCCACGCGCACGGAAGGTTGTGCAGCAGGTAAGGGTGTTCTTTCAGCACGGTGTTGAATATATCCTGCAGGGGGAGCCACGACAATGAGACAGCAGGGGTAGAAATTAACGTTTGAACAACTGACTCCCTGCCCTCAAAAAGAGGGAGTCCGCGGCAAAATGAGGGAGTCCGCAGTCTGAAGTTCAAAACTAAAGATATTAACAATAACGCATGTGCTTATTTTGAAGATTCATGCGGTTGCACGTCTGCCGAAATTTCTTTGGACATTTGCTGAAAAAATACGGTAATTTCGCGTGGGAGTAATGAAGCCGTGCTCTGGAACGAACTAGTTAGTATAGCAGAATTTTCAGGGAGTCACACGGACTCCTGCATATGTCAAATCAGGGAGTCCGCTCTGGAATGAACTAGTTAGTATAGCAGAATTTTCAGGGAGTCACACGGACTCCTGCATATGTCAAATCAGGGAGTATTTGACTCCGGACATTAATTTCGCACCCTGGAGACAATATGTTAGCTGCTGCACCACGTCCCACCCTGACTATTTGCCCCACCCTGAAGCAGCGCTCACCCAACCCATATGCAGCGTTTACTGTTTGCCTGATCACGCATCAATTTTAAGGCGACAGATGTAGTGAGTGCACCTGTCTACCATAACGGATCCAGCTCGCCCGAGCGAGTGATCGTTACTGGCGCTACTTTACGCACAGTACAGTATGTTACTCAGTTACAGTAGTTCAGGGCGTGACAAGTGGCGCTCATAAAATAGGAAAATAGGAATTTCAGATGTGAAAAAATAGGAGGAAAATAGGAATTTGTACAGAAAATAGGAGAAAATAGGAATTGCCCAGAAAATAGGAAAAAATAGGAATTTGTACAGAAAATAGGAGAAAATAGGAATTGCCCAGAAAATAGGAAAAAATAGGAACTTGACGCCCTGGTAGTTCTACAGGCAGTAGTCACAGTCTTTACTTGTCGCGCCAGCATCAGAGTCGGCATCATCGTCAGTGTCATCATCAGAGTCAGCATCAGTGTCATCATCAGTGTCATCGTCAGCGTCAGCATCAGTGTCATCGTCAGCGTCAGCATCGTCGTCAGGGTAATCGTCAGCGTCAGCATCAGCATCAGGATCATCGTCATTGTCATCGTCAGCATCATCATCAGTGTAATCGTCAGCGTCAGCATCAGAGTCAGCATCAGGATCAGCATCAGTGTCAGCATCATCATCATCGTCAGCCTCATCATCAGCATCATCATCAGCGTCGGAGGACGACGGGGGGAGGTGGAGTGTGCTTACCTGGTCAGCGAGGGAGGTGGCCAACAGGGTGACCAGCTCCTTCTCCGCCACCATGCGCCACATCTGCATCCAGTTGACGCTGCGCAGCTTCTCAAGGTCGAGCAGAATCACGCCCGTGTTGAAGCCACGACCCTGACGACAAACATCGATAATAAACAGCTTAATAACAGCTTCTCAAGGTCGAGCAGAATCACGCCCGTGTTGAAGCCACGACCCTGACGACAAACATCGATAATAAACAGCTTAATAACAGCTTCTCAAGGTCGAGCAGAATCACACCCGTGTTGAAGCCACGACCCTGACGACAAACATCGATAAACAGCTTAATAACAGCTTCTCAAGGTCGAGCAGAATCACGCCCGTGTTGAAGCCACGACCCTGACGACAAACATCGATAATAAACAGCTTAATAACAGCTTCTCAAGGTCGAGCAGAATCACCAACGCCGTGTTGAAGGCCCACGACCCTGACGACAAACATCGATAAAAAACAGCTTATTAACAGCTTCTCTAAGGTCGAGTAGAATACACGCCCATGTTGAAGACCGCACGACCCTGACGACAAAACATCGGATAAAACAGCTATAACAGTGCTTCTCCAGGTCGAGACAGAATCACACATACCGTGTTGAAGCTAGCAACCCTGAACAACAAACATCGATAAAGTCTTAGTTGCCATGCCCCAAAAACAAGTGCCACAGCAACCGTCGTATAATATCTCCTTTGGTGGATAAACAGCGAAGAAAATGTCAAGAAGATTTCTCAACCTGAATACATCATCAAAGCGTATATGGGTAGGCAAGTGTTTTTGACCGTAGCTGCAAGATCACTGTATATTCAATACGTGTTACCACGATGTATATATAATAATATATATAACCAAGGTAAATGCGCATATTTCCTGTCAGCTTTAAGGCAAAAAGAATTGCATACTAATGGCTACCCGGACTGTGCGATATTCCAGATAAAGTTGCTTGTTCTGACAATAGCAGCACCTGTGTGTCAGAACGTTCCTAACCAACGTTCAGGAATAAGACTAAATCATAGTCAGAGAACGCCCCGCCCCCTTCCCCATGTTCCATAAATGTATTTTTAACAAGTACGAAGGTGCTGCCTACGCATTACCAGTGCTGGCCATGGCACGTGTCCTTTCCAACAACTTCCCAGGTACCAGTCACTTTGTTTTCCACCAAGCGATCGCCTTGGGCGACCCGTAAACGAGCCGAAGATTCTCCACAGCGCTGCGATGTCGGTTGCAAAACGTACATCGTGTCCAGCAACAATCACCTGCCGTAAATAAATATGCGTTAGAAATGCCTGGGATGAATAGCATCTCACACAGTCTAGTTATTTACATCTGATAACATGGAAAACTAAACGAAAAACCACCTGCTAGTCACGACTTACATAACAGAGAATCAGTTGAGCTGCCAACCTAACACAGTACAGTTCGGGTGCTCCGTAAAATATTAAGTCAATTACTTATACTGAAATGATGTGCGTGTGGCAACACATGCCTGGATTTAGTCAGACAACAATAGTCTCACATGATTCAACCAATTACCTTTACATTTAACTTTACAGTACATTTACCTTCACCTTACCATTTACCAATTACCTTACATGTTACAATCAACATTGAATCGAAGCCGGCGAAATAAAAAACATGATGTAAGCCATGAGTAGCTCGGTCGTACCGCTTGCTCAGTGGTCCTGGGAAGGAACTTGGCCAGGGTAAGCTTCATGAGGCGTAGACACCAGAGTAATGCTTAGTTGGGTATCCACGAGATCTCGCCTTTTGATCGTTATCCGCAGGCGTAAAAAGGAGTCCACCCTCGACTACAAGCAGCAAGCCAGAATACAGAGTTACACCTAGATTATCGGAGCGACTTAATTCTAAATCTGGCCCATCAGATTTCAAAGATTCCGAGAGCACTGTTTGTTGATTAGGTCACAATTCCATACCGAACTAGTTCTCAATCTCAAGGACAACTACTGCTACAAGCAAAGCCAAAAACTCAGGGCGTGCTCTCTCCCTCAGTCATGTACTCACCCCCCGGCAACGAACCAAGTGTTGAATAGCGTTTAAAGGCACGAGGCTGGGCAGGCCGGAAAATCAAGCGATGAAAAAGTGGAAGTGAAGCGGATCTTTTGCGGTTAGAAACAACACACTCTGATGAGGGTAACGACGCTGCGGCTGGCGTTGCTAGCCAGCACAGCACGATCGCAAACATCAACTCACGCTGTAATAAACATACTTACTATTTTTACTATAATTACTAACAACTAGTATATATATAAGAAATACTAATAATTACTATATATATAATATACTATAATACAATATATACTAACCCACGTCCGACCGACCCAGTCGGGTAAATGTTTGGTCTCAGGTCGCATACAACCAGAGTGCGTAGTCAGCCAGACTGGTTCGTGTATAGAATTCCGTCCAATTATAGTACTCGCACAATGTTTACATATCATCAATTCACACCTTTCTGGCTTATAATTCACATTATGTAATTACAAAATGCACAAGATTCTTTCACATGTCAGTGGGCAAGCAAACAAACATCGAATCTTAATTACGCGCTGTTCGTGCCTTAAAGTAAAAACAATACCTGTGTCAGTGTTCTAGCCCATTAACCTCCAGGCGTGCAACCCAGGGATGCACTGAAAAGTCACCTCTGCTTAGACTGGTTTCGGCGGCCGCCATGTTTGTCGCAGAGCGTGTACATTGTCTAAGCAGAGCGTGGAGGCCGATACCAGCTACCCTTCGCGCAAAAAACAAAAGTGGTGCTGCCAGCCGGTCAGGACAGCACGACCCGAGATAAATACCGTGCCCCGAGCTAGTAAGGTGCCCGTCGGCATGAGGTACGAATGCAGGCCTGTGCATTGAACCCTTACACAACACAAGTATGGCAAAAAGTAAGCTAGTAATTATCAGAAAAGTAGTGAAAAAAGGTAGGGAAAAGTAGCGAAACCAGGGAAAAAGTTAGGGCATCTAGACGTTAATTATATTATGGTGAAATATATAACTATATAAGTCGCGGGAATACTTGGTCATAGCTGTCGCAGCCGCCGCCGCCGCCGGCCACAGACACTTTCCCTCGCCCTCTATAACTCAACCAAGTAGACAGTGAACAAACATCGGTCTTAATTTACACATCATGGGGAGAAGTGCTCGCGCTAACCGAAACCAGTCACTCTGCAACCTTTATTTGAGCTTGACCTCTGACCTTCATCATATTTCCCTTCCGCTTCTATAACTCGCCCCTAATTGACCCCTACGCGCGAGCAAACTCGTATACTTTGACACATGCTTGGGAAGAAGGTGTGTCGCGTACCAAAACGCCTTCGTACGTCCTGTCACAGAGATATTTAATTCATACTAGATGTAGTTTTGGCGGACAAGCTGCCCTTTGCTAAGATGATCTGATGTACCCGCCTTCATCAACACAATGGGCGCTGCCTTGCAAATTTATATCTCGGCTACAATCTTAAAAACTTCAAAAAGCTAGTGAAAAAGGTAGCCCAAAATAAAAAAGTAGGAAAAAAGTAGGAAAGTAGGCGAGAACTATTGAAAAAAGTAGCGAAAAGTAGGCGCGAGAACTAGTTGAAAAAGTAGGAAAGTACCGGGCATCAATCCCACAGGCCTGCAGAATGCTTGCACGTAGAAACTACGGTCCACGCCGCATTAAATAGCGGTCGGAGAAACAGCCAGTTCTATTGAATTACATACGGATGCACACAACTCGTTATCTAAATAACAGTTTTCTTAGCAATGGGTCTGGGTCGGCTAGTGAAAGTTAGGTCCAGGGCGAGTTGGTTTTCGTCAGTTACTAGCGCAGATCGGTCTAGCTGAAATAAAAAGTTAATGTTGAACCCTGTGGAACAAGACTAAGAACGTTATTACGCTGCAGACATGAAGACCGTGAGATCACACTATATCGAGCTGTGACCCGGATGCACTGCTGAGCACGCTTACCTCACACTATTCGAGCTGTGACGCGAGCCTGTTAGCACGACTTGACACGCACACTACTTCGAGCTGTGACGGCAGCATCTGTGAGCACGCTTACCTCACACTATCGCGGCTGTTGACCGAGCCGTGAGCACGCACTTACCCTTCACACTATTTCGAAGGCTAGGTGACGCGGGCCTGTGACGACGTTACCTCACCACTATCGCACTGTGACGGCGAGCCTGTGAGCACGCTTACCTCACACTATTCGAGCTGTGACGCGAGCAGCTGTAAGCACGCTACCTCACACTTCGGCACTTCTGCCTCGGTCACGCACGGCCGCCGCCGACCGACGCGCCGCGTTCCCCGCGCTGTCGCTCAGCGGCACTTGGGAGTCGCCGAGGTTGAGCTGTCGTCGTAGGCACACCGGTTTCTCTTTCTTCCAGCGCGTGTATCTGTATCTGCTGCACAGTGGCGTGGTCGATCGATGCCGGTCTGCGCTTCAGCAGATCTGTTTCGGATCGAAAAATCGAAATCGTAGCCGTAACGAGCGCGGGGCTCGAACATAGCGCATCCCTCCACTCGCTCTGCTCGCCATGCCTTAAACAGGGTTTCCTTCTGAGGAAAAATTAGACAACGGTAATGGCCAGTTTGGGGAAAAAATGCGCATGATGGATTCAAAGGCATGCAGTAGGCACGAATGTGGATGCTGCAGGCAGACGCGGGGGGGGAGATAGGTAGAGGGGGTTCTGGAGGTCTCCCCAGCAAAATTTTAAAAATTTTGAATGTCTTAGACTGCATTTGAGGCACCTCGAAAAATAAAAATTTCACCTTTTAGTTTAAATCTTAACTCTTTTAGCAGACCTACCAGTCTCACGCATTTCGCGGAAACTCACGCACCACTGGACCCATTCTCTCTGCCTACCCTCGCGGCATGCCGTACGCATTCTCACGCATTCACGCAAAAGAAAAAAAAAGAAAAAAAGCAGCCCGCGACACCCCTGTTAACCACGTTGTGGCTGTGCACATCATGGCTCCTGCTTGCTGGCTGGGGCGGCATTGATTGAAGTACGGGGGGGGGGGGGCAATGCACTGATTGTTAGTCGCGTGGGCATGCTTATTGCTGTATATGTAAGGGTGGCACCGCTTATGAGGGAGCGACAGCAAAAACTTTCACTGTATATAGTCGAGCACGTGGTGATCTTATTATTTTTGGATGACACTATTTTGACAACGGCGGGCAAATACAGGAACATTTTCACAAACGCCGTTGTTCAATTTGACAAAGCCTGAACAAACCCTGCTTAAATAAAATATGAAGATGAATTCCCCGATCATTCGTACCAACTCTTCGCTGTCATCGAGGAGAACGAGGGACACACGTACTCACCTTCCCCGATGGATAGGTAGAAGAGGATGAGCAGTGGAACGAGGGAGAGGAGGGCGAGGAACAGCAGCAAGCCGCGACTCCTCATGATTCCTCCTCCCCGCACCTTCCTCCTACAACCCATCAGTCAGAGCATCCCTGACAGCTGAAGGAAGATTCCCTGTGAGGTTAGCCTACAAGCAGTAATATGAAGTGTAGTGATACACACAAACCCAGCAGTATATTGACAACGGGATGCATTTTGAGTTACTGACGGTGTTACAGTTAGTACTGGATGCTAGATGCTAAGATCCTAAATACCTAAATAAATCAGCTAGATACATAAATGCTAGACGTGATGCGGCCATGATGCCGAGGCGCGCCGAGGTTTGACTCTTTGTGTCTCCAATCACAGCCTACATCGCACCAGTCTTTTATATTTTTAAAGATGGGTACCCATTGGACCACCAAATCGCCGATCTCAGGAACTAGGGCATTCTGCTATGTTAGAACGGTTTCCTACGATAGTTTGCCACAAATACGAAAATAACACGCTGTTTAGCCACTGCCGCTACGTCCTTCTGTTGAATTTTCGCATCTCCGTAATCAGAATAAGCCCCGCCCTTCTTCGTTGATGGACATGAATGGGGCGTCACCGACGTGACCAGTTACTGTAACCTACTGTCTTTCGGCAGCCTGTTTAATTTTCGTAAATAATGGAATGCCCGGCCGATGCATTTCGCACGTTGGAAAATTTTCGGCATTTTCACTCGCTGTCGGAAGTGAACGAGTGCGTCATTCATTGAACATTGAAGTTTTTCTTCAAATTAAATAATTCCGAAAATCCCTAACCGCGCTACTCGATTGTTTTAGCCAATGAACGTAGCTGTGTGTGTGATGTCTTGCCCACGCGATTTATGCTTGGCTTAGCGGGCCTCGAAATGGATATCGGAGGCAGGCACCTCACAACACGCATGTTTGTTTAAATTTTGTATACCAGCTTTGTGACGTACGGTGTTCGGGAGTTCTGCGATGATAACCTCGTAATTTCTCAGCATTTCTTAAGGTGCATGGAACATTTTACCAATTTAGTTGTGTCAGTTAGTCACGGATATGTCCAGGGATGAGATTCTTCCGCGGATCCGCGGAAATCCGCGGATTTGACAGTCCCAGGTGTCGATTTTGTGAAACGTCTAAATTCGTTGAGAAAATTGGGAGGGGGGTAACAATGTAACAATTTAAATTATATACCCTCGACAGCACCTGACTGTAGACTGTAGAGTGTAGACAGTAGGCTGACAGCGAAGTATACAGTGTATCTGTTTTTGCGTACCAGAAAAGAAAATCCTGGTTCACAGGCTGCAGTAGAGGGGCAGACATTTGAGGTAGCTGATCACGTAACGACCATGCCTGGCCTGGGGGCCGGGTTTACATGTTGCTGTGCGCATGTTGTGTGCATGACTATGCATTGATTGTTCCATTCGCATTGTGTTTTTTTTCATTAAAATCTGGTCGCAGCAAGGCAGCTTATGTCTGAGTAAAACAATGCAAGTGACGGGTGGAAACAGAAAAATATCATTATGTCTAGACATTTAATAAAAAAACTTGCCCTATTTTCAGCCCCCTGATTTCCTATTATAGTTCGTTTGTTCCTTTTGACAACTTGAAAAGGTGATTCAAGAGTCTCCTATAATTTGTTCAGAATAGCTTAGAATGCACCAAATTGCACCATTCTTTTAAAAAAATTCCGGGGGAGCATGCCCCCGGACCCCGGGAGCATGGCGATGACCTAAGGTCCTCGCATTGCTCGCTCCTCTGTTTGCTAATTAAAATTTCAGCTGAAAATTAAATTATCCAATCTCATCCCTGTATGTCACAGTAAGTACTAACCGTATATGTTTCACATACGTTCACCTATTTTGCACACAGGCGGTCAATCATTGTAAAAAATTGTGTGAATATTTATTTTTATTGAGAAGTTCCAAGTGCCTGTGCTTTCAACAGTCTTTTACGTCAATGCACGTGCGTCAAGAGCCACAAACTCAACACAATTTCATCTCTGTTATTGTTTACGCCTGAATGCGTGATTGATCAGGGAGGGGGTGCATGTAAGAGGGAGACATTTTCTTTGGGGTTCCGAAAAACATAATTCCACTTGACAATTTCATGGGCCATTTCAATTGGAAGCTCTGCATAATGGACCCCCAACAAGCCCTTTGACTGACTAGTCAAGAAATTCAAAGGTCTGTAAATTGCTCTTATTTAGCCGCCGATAGTTCTTATTTAACAAAGACTTCATTGTTATCTTCTAAAACTACAGACCATCCGCGGACCGCTGTGTAGACGTGCGCCGGGCCTCGAATTTGGCGCACGTCTCCACTGCGGACAGCGCTTCATACTTGAACATCCCCGCGCAGCGCTCAGGATCAACAGCAAAGCTGTGCCATGCAATCTTGTATCATTTCTCTCTGGATCATGTCCCTCTAAAATCTAAATGCAGTTAACACTTCTGAAATCAATTTTTTTCTAAGGGAGGGCCTACAGATGCAGGACCCACTCACTCCAAAGTGAGTGCCATGTATTTTAGCTAAGCTAGCTTACATAATAAACATTCTTACTTTAAATTGCCACCCTCAAATCAAATTCAACTCACTGCAATTTGGCCAGATTGGGCCAATTACCAAATGCAAACAAATCGAAAACAGACTATACACGGCTATATCCGAAAGAGATATAAATAGTGGTTGCGCTACAAGTGAGCCACACTAGTTAGCCTGCCAGTGTCATGCTGCGAAGATTCACTGCCACCCCCCAGCGCTGTAAATGGGGCGTGTAATCCACTGTAGGCTGCAGCAGGAGCGTAGGGTAGCTCTGGAACTATAGCCCTTCGCTCCGCCACAGACGCCACCTGTGGCAAAGCAAAGGGCTATACCCCTATAGTTATAGAGCTAGACCGTTGCATGGCCCAGGCCATGTCATGGGTAGAGCTAACAAAAGTAACGCTGATAGGGTCTATGTCCCCCAGGGTACTGCCGGAACGTACCCTGGAAGAAACAAGTGCCACAGCAACCGTTCGAATATATCTTGTTGGTGGATCAACAGCAAGATGTCAAGAAGATTTCTCAACCTGATACATCACTTCAAAGCTGTATATGGGTAGGCAAGTGTTTTTGACGTCAGCTGCAGACACTGTATATTCAAATACGTGTTACACGATGTATATATATATATATAACCAGGTAAATGCATATTTCCTGTCAGTTTAAGGCAAAAAGAATGCATACTATGGCTACCACGATGTGCATATTCCAGATAAAGTTGCTTGTTCTGACAATAGAGCACTGTGTCAGAACGTTCCTAACCTAACGTTAGGAATAAGACTAATCATAGTTCAGACAACGCCCCCCTTCCCCATGTCTCATAAATGTATTTTTCAAAGTACGAGTGCTGCTACTGCCATTACCAGTGCTGGCCATGGCACGTGTCCTTTCCACAACTTCCCCAGGTACCAGTCACTTTGGTTTTCCACCAAGCCGATCGCCTGGCGACCCGTAAACTTGCGGAAGATCTTCCACAGCTCTGCGATGTCGGTTGCAAACGTGACATCGGTGTCCAGAACAATCACCTGCCGTAAATAAATATGCTTAGATAATGCCGGGGATGAATACATCTCACACAGATTATTTACATCTGATAACATGGAAAACTAAAACGAAAAACCACCTGCTAGTCATGACTTACATAACAGAGAATAGTTGAGCTGCAACCTAACAAGTACAGTCGGGTGGCTCCGTAAATATTACAGTCAATTACTATACTGAAATGATCGTGTGGAACACATGCCTGGATTTAGTCAACAACAATAGTCTCACTGATTCAACAATTACCTTTACATTTACCTTTACAGGTACATTTACCTTTACCTTACATTTACCAATTACCTTTACATGTACAATCAACATTGATCGAAGCGGGAAAAAAAACCTGAGTAAGCATGAGTAGTCGGTCGTACCTTGCTCAGTGTGCTGGGAAGGAACTTTGGCAGGGTAAGCTTCATGAGGCCGTAGACACCAGAGTAATGCTTATTGGGTATCCACGAGATCTCGCCTTTGATGTTATCGGCAGGGTAAAAATCCACCTCGACTACAAGCAGCAAGCAGAATCAGAGTTACACCTAGATTATGGAGGACTTAATTCAAATCTGCACAGATTTCAAAGATTCCGAGAGCACTTGTTTGTTGATTAGGTCACAATTCCATACGAACTAGTTCTCAATCTCAAGGACAACTACTGCTACAAGAGCCAGACTCAGGGCTGCTCTCTCCTCAGCTCATGTACTCACCCCCCGGCACGAACCAAGTGTTGAATAGCGTCTTAAGGACGAGGTGGGCGGCCGGATCAGCGATGAAGTGGAAGTGAAGCGGATTCTTGCGGTAGAACAACACACTCTTGATGAGGGTAACGACGCTGCGGCTGGCGTTGTAGCCAGCACACACGATCGCAACATCAATCACCTGTAAATAACATACTTACTATTTTTACTATAATTAATAACAACTAGTATATATATAAGAAATACTATAATACTATATATATAATATACTATAATACAATATATATATATATATATATACAATAAATACTATAATTACTAACTACATGTTATATGAACATCGCTACACGCCATCTGTAGGGGAATAAAGTAACCATTGTGTGCAATTATAAAAGTAAATTGCATAAATAGATAAGCATGTTTTACGTTTTTCTCTCTCCTGCATTTGATCTCAATCACGATGAGTAGCTGTAACAGAGACGTTCGCGTTCATGAACCAGGGTTCGACACTAACCCACGTCCGTCCGACCGACCCAGTCGGGTAAATGTTTGGTCCGGTCGCATACAACCAGAGTGCTAGTAGCCCGACTGGTCGTGTTAGAATTGGTCATATAGTACTCGCACATAGTTACATGACATCATTTCACACCTTTCTGCCTTATAATTCACATTTGTAATTACAAAATGCACAATTTTCACAATGTCAGTGCAAGGCAAAACATCGAATCTTTATTACGGTGTTCGTGCTTAAAGTTAAAACAATACCTGTCAGTGTCTAGCCCATTAACCCAGCGTGCAACCCAGGATGCACTGAAAAGTCACCTCTGGCTAGACTGGTTCGCGGCCGCACTGTTTGTCGCAGAGCGTGTACATTGTCTAGCAGAGCGTGAGGCCGGATACCAGTCTACCCTTCGGCAAAAACAATAAGGTGGCTTGCTGCCAGCCGCAGTAGACAGACGATCCGAGATAAACCATGCGCCCGTGTATGCCCGTGGTAGAGTACGAATGCAGGCCTGTGATTGAACCCTTACAACAAAGTAGGGCAAAAGTAGGGCTAGTAATATCAGAAAAGTAGTGAAAAAGGTAGGGGAAAGTAGGGAAACCAGGGAAAAAGTAGGGCAGTCTAGCGTTTATTATATATGGTGAAATATATAAATATAAGTCGGATACTATGGTTTCATGTCTGTCCAGCCACCGCCGCCACCGCCGCAGACACTTTCCCTGCCGCTCTATAACTCGACCCCTCAAGTAATTGACCTAGCGTGACCAAACATGGTCTACTTACACATCTTGGGGAGAAGGTGTGTCGCGTACCAAAACCCCTTCTACGTCCTTACAGAGATATTTAATTCATACTAGATCACGGGGGATACATGTAGTTGGCGACGTTTCTAGATGATCTGATGTACCCGCCTTCCTTCACACAATGGGGTGCCTTGCATTTTATCTGGTACAATCTTAAAAACTTCAAAAATAGTGAAAAGGTAGGGCAAAAATAAAAAGTAGTGAAAAAAGTAGGAAAGTAGGGGAGAACTAGTGAAAAAGTAGGAAAGTAGGGAGAACTAGTGAAAAAGTAGGAAAGTAGGGATCAATCACAGGCCTGCGAATGCTGCACGTGAACTCGGTCCACGCGCGATTTAAAGCGCGGGAAACAGCATCTATGAATTCATACGAGACACACTCTTATCTAAATAAAGTTTTCTTAGCAATGGTCTGGGTCTGGCTAGTGAAAGTTAGGTCAGGGCTAGTGGTTTTCCTCAGTTACTAGCCCGATGGTCTAGTGAAATAAAAAGTTAATGTTGAACCCTGTGAACAGACTACGTTAGTTACGTGCAGACATGAAGACCGTGAGATCACACTATTTCGAGCTGTGACGCGAGCCTGTGAGCACGCTTACCTCACACTATTCGAGCTGTGACGTGAGCCTGTGAGCACGCTTACCTCACACTATTCGAGCTGTGACGTGAGCCTGTGAGCACGCTTACCTCACACTATTCGAGCTGTGACGCGAGCCTGTGAGGCACGCTTAGCCTCACACTATTCGAGCTGTGACGCGAGCCTGTGAGCACGCTTACCTCACACTATTCGAGCTGTGACGCGAGCCGTGAGCGACGCACCTCACACTATTCGAGCTGTGACGTGAGCCTGTGAGCACGCTTACCTCACACTTTGGCACTTCTGCCTCGGTCACGCACCCGCCGCCGACCGACGCGCCGCCGTTCCCGCTGTCGCTCAGCGGCACTTGGGAGTCGCCGAGGTTGAGCTGTCGTCGTAGCAACCGGTTCTCTTCTTCCAGCGCGTGTATCTGTATCTGCTGCACAGTGGCGTGGTCGATCGATGCCCGTCTGCGCTTCAGCAGATCTGTTTCGGATCGAAAAATCGAAATCGTAGCGCTAACGACAGCGCGGGGTCGAACATAGCGCATCCCTCCACTCGCCTGCTCCGATGCCTTAAACAGGGTTTCTTCTGAGGGAAAATTAGACAACGGTAATGGCCAGTTTGGGGAAAAAATGCGCATGATTGATTCAAAGGCATGCAGTAGGCAGCGAATGTGGATGCTGCAGGCAGACGCGGGGGGGGAGATAGGTAGAGGGGTTCTGGAGGTCTCCCCAGCAAAATTTTAAAAATTTTGAATGTCTTAGACTGCATTTGAGGCACTCGAAAATAAAATTTCACTTTTAGTTTAAATCTTACTCTTTTAGCAGACTACCAAGTCTCACGCATTTCGCGGGAAACTCACGCACGCACCTGGACCCATTCTCTCGCACTCCGGCATGCCGTACGCATTCTCACGCATTCACGCAAAAAAAAAAAGAAGGAAAAAAGCAGCCCGCGACACCCCTGTTACCCACGTCTGTGGCTGTGCACATCATGGCTCCTGCTTGCTGGCTGGGGCGGCATTGATTGAAGTACGGGTGGGGGGGGGGCAATGCGCACTGATTGTTAGTCGGTGGGCATGCTTATTGCTGTATATGTAAGGGTGGGCACCGCTGGTATGAGGGAGCGACAGCAAAACTTTCCATGTATATAGTCAGAAGCACGTGGTGATCTATATATTTTTGGATTGACACTATTTTGACAACGGCGGGCAAATACAGGAACATTTTCACAACGGCGTTGTTCAATTTGACAACCTGAACAAACCCTGCTTAAATGAATATGATGAGATGAATCCCCGATCATTCGTACCAATCTTCGCTGTCATCGAGGAGAACGAGGACACACGTACTCACCTTCCCCGATGGATAGGTAGAAGAGGATGAGCAGGTGGACGAGGGAGAGAGGGCGAGGAACAGCAGCAAGCCGCGACTCCTCATGATTCCTCCTCCCGCACCTTCCTCCTACAACCCATCAGTCAGAGCATCCCTGACAGCTGAAGGAAATTCCCTGTGAGGTTAGCCTACAAGCAGTAATATGAAGTGTAGTGATACACACAAAACGGCAGTATATTGACAACGGGATGCATTTGAGTGTACTGACGGTGTTACAGTTAGTACGGATGCTAGAGATGCTAAGATCCTTAATACCTTAAATAAATCAGCTAGATACATAAATGCTAGACGTGATGCGGCCATGAGCCGAGGCGCGCCGAGGTTTGATTCTTTGTGTCTTCCAATCACAGCCTACATCGCACCAGTCTTATATTTTTAAAGTGGGTACCCATTGGACCACAAATCGGCCGATCTCAGGAACTAGGGCATTCTGCTATGTTTTGAACGGTTTCTACGATAGTTTGCCACAAATACGAAAAATAACACGCTGTTTAGCGCACTGCCGCTACGTTCTTCTGTTGATTTTCGCATCTCCGTAATCAGAATAAGCCCCGCCTTCTTCGTTGATGGACATGAATGGGGCGTCACCGACGTGACCAGTTACGTGTACCTACTGTCTTTCGCCAGCCTGTTTACTTTTCGGTAAATAATGAAATGCGCCGGCCGATGCATTTCGCATCGAAGTGGAAAATTTTCGAGGCATTTTCACTCGCTGTCGGAAGTGAACGAGTGCGTCATTCATTGAACATTGAAGTTTTTCTTCAAATTAAATAATTCCGAAAATCCCGTAACCGCGCTACTCGATTGTTTTAGCCAATGAACGTAGCTGTGTGTTGATGTCTTGCCCACGCGCTTTATGCTTGGCTTAGCGGGCCTCGAAATGGATATCGGAGGCAGGCACCTCGCCAACACGCATGTTTGTTTAAATTTTGTATACCAGCTTTGTGACGTACGGTGTTCGGGAGTTCTGCGGATGATAACCTCGTAATTTCTCAGCATTTTAACGTTGAACATTGCATTCCATGGTGCATGGAACATTTTACCAATTTAGTTGTGTCAGTTAGTCACGGATATGTCCAGGGATGAGATTCTTCCGCGGATCCGCGGAAATCCGCGATTTGACAGTCCCATGAGTGTCGATTTTGTGAAACGTCTAAATTCGTTGAGAAAATTGGGAGGGGGGGTAACAAGTTAACAATAAAATTTTTATACCTCGACAGCACTGACTGTAGACTGTAGAGTGTAAGACAGTAGGCTGACAGCGAAGTATACAGTGTATCTGTTTTTACTACCAGAGAAGAAATCCTCGTTCACAGGCTGCAGTAGAGGCGGCAGACATTTGATGGAGCTGATCACGTAACGACCATGGCTGCGCTGGGGGCCGGGTTTACATGTTGCTGTGCGCATGTTGTGTGCCATGACTATGCACTGATTGTTCCATCGCATTGTGTTTTTTTTATTCAAATCTGGTCGCAGCAAGGCAGTTATGTCTGAGTAAAACATGCAAAGTGACGGGTGGAAACAGAAAAATATCATTATGTCTAGACATTTAATAAAAAACTTGCGCCTATTTTCAGCCCCTGATTTCCTATTATAGTTCGTTTGTTCCTTTTGACAACTTGAAAAGGTGATTCAAGAGTCTCCTATAATTTGTTCAGAATAGCTTAGAATGCCCACCAAATTGCACCATTTTTTAAAAATTCCGGGGAGCATGCCCCCGGACCCCGGAATTGGCGATGACCTAAGGTCCTCGCATTGCTCGCTCCTCTGTTTGCTAATTAAAATTTCAGCTGAAATTAAATTATCCAATCTCATCCGCTTGATGTCACGAGTAAGTACTAACCGTTATGTTTCACATACGTTCACCTATTTGCACTACAGGCGTCAATCATTGTAAAAAATTGTGTGAATAATTTATTTTATGAAGAGTTCCAAGTGCCTGTGGCTTTCAACAGTCTTTTACGTCAATGCACGTGCGTCAAGATGCACAAACTCAACACAATTTCATCTCTGTTATTGTTTACGCCCTGAATGCGTGGTTGATCAGGGAGGGGCGGGGGGTCGCATGTAAGAGAGCATTTTCTTTGGGTGGTTCCGAAAAACAACATTCCACTTGACAATTTCATGGGCCATTTCAATTGGAAGCTCTGCATAATGGACCCCAACAAGCCTTTGAGTTGGCTAGTCAAGAAATTCAAAGGTCTGTATATTGCTCTTTTTTAGCCGCCGATAGTTCTTATTTAACAAAGACTTCATTGTTATCTTCTAAAACTACAGACCATCCGCTGACCGCTGTGTAGACGTGCGCCGGGCCTCGAATTTGGCGCACGTCTCCACTCGGGACAGCGCTTCATACTTAAACATCCACCGCCGCCAGCGCTCAGGATCACCAGCAAAGCTGTGCGGTGTGCCATGCAATTTGTATCATTTTCTCTCTGGATCATGTCCCTCTAAATGCAGTTAACACTTCTGAAATCAATTTTTTTTCTAAGGGAGGGCCTACAGATGCAGGACCCACTCACTCCAAAGTGAGTGCCATGTATTTTAGCTAAGCTAGCTTACATAATAAACATTCTTACTTTAAATTGCCACCTCAATCAATTAACTCACTGCAATTTGGCCAGATTGGGCCAATTACCAAATGGCAAACAATCGAAAAACAGACTATAACCGGCGTATATCGAAAGAGATTATAATAAGTGGTTGCGCTAGCAAGTGAGCCACACTAGTAGCTTGGCCAGAGTGTCATGCGGTGTGGAAGATTCACTGCCCCCCCAGTGCTGTAAATGTGCGTGTATCCACTGTAGGCTGCAGCAGGAGCGTAGGGTAGCTCTAGAACTATAGCCCTTCGCTCCGCCACAGACGCCACCTGTGGCCAAGCAAACGGCTATCCCCTATAGTTATAGAGCTAGACCGTTGCATGGCCCAGGCCATGTCAGGTCTGGGTAGAGGCTACAAGGTAACGCTGATAGGGTCTATGTCCCCCAGGGTACTGCCGGAACGTACCCTGGTCACTATTTGATATGGTTAGGGTTAGGATTAGGGTTAGGGTTACGGTTAGGGAGTAGGCGTAGGCGACTCCCTTAGACTCGTTAGTGGAGTAGCGACGGTTTCTCACGGTCCGGCATATTAGATAGTACCAGGGTACGTTTCGGTATACCGGACCCAGGGTACGTTCCGGCAGTACCCCGGGGGACATAGACCCTCTCAGCAAAAGTAACATCTAACGATGATACATGTAACATGAGAACCAATAAGCAGCATCTACTCACTAGGTCTACTGTAGACATATGATAAATTTTATGTTACCTCGGGTTTCCAGATTATCCCCAAAACTCGGCCAAAGAGAGGGAGCAGTTGAAGTTGCAAGCAGCAGTGACTCGCACAGGTTGGGATTATAATATTAATAAGACTCCCGGTTCCAACAGACCCGATCGCGGAAAAGGATATTGCGTAGAGTTACAGCATTTAACGCGTTCATATGCAGAATTTCCAGAATTATCTGCACTATTATGCAACATTTTTATTTACAAAAGACCTCTGGCATATTAGATTGAGAAAACCGTACATTTCTGTAAAATTTCGACGCCGCTAACAATAATGGCGGAATATTGTAAGACGAAGTGTGAATAGCGACTTGCAAAACGTTCCAACCAATCACATCACTGTTGTCAAATGCCTCAACTGGAAATTGTACGGTGGTGTATAGTGATAATTACATGTTAATTTAAAACAACCTTTTGTTAATGCTCATTAATCTCCTATTCGTAAGAATTGTCTAAGCATTTCTAAACATCTGAGAGTTCCATACATAACTGTAGCTATTTTCACATTTAATCGATAGATATTAATTTCTCTCAAACAAACACCTCGGCATTCAAAAATCATTTGACCTCGGAGCCACAAGATGGCAGTGCGCACCGATGACGCGAATGAATGATCGGAACAAAACCATAACGCGTTTACTACGCTCCGGCTGAACTCCATAATCATGGATGGTATGTTATCACTCACGTGTTAGAAAATACGTTGGTATAAATAGCCTATTAAATATAATATACAGCAGATATTGGCAGCCTAAGCATTACTTTGGAATTGCGACGCGCGAGTCTTTATTTGAACAAAAATTTGTTCAGATCAAAATTGCCAAAGTTTATTCTGCGAACTTTGTTTTGTTGTTTACATGGGTGCAAATCTACTTTAGGCACCTTAGGTATCACGAAGTGATGCACAGATTTCTGTGTATCATCAACTGATGCATATACTTTCCGTATATCAAGGAATGATGCAAAAACCCTAACCCTAACCCTAAGTCATAAAGTATATAACCTTAGCTATATACGGAACACAGGCACTTGGAACGTCTCAATAAAAAAAATTAATGATGGTAAATAAACACGAAATATACCAAAGTCTTAATGTTTCTCTACTCTATTTCATCTATAATCACCTGTAAATGCCGGTCAAATGCTCATCTGCAACACACAAGTACACCGCACGCTCGCCATGTGCACAAACAACATGAATAAGAGAGCAGGTAGGAAAGCGTGATCGCGAAATTCGCTTAACGCTCGCTTAAATTTCACACGATCACAGAACGAAAACACATCCAACAGCTCCCATCTTGGTATCTATGTGTACATAAATGTTCACTTGTTCGAATTATAACTCTGGCCTTTGTTCTACCTACTCCCGCCAGAGATATCTCGTGAAATCTTGCAGGAAATGTTCTTTCCGTGAAAATGTAAAGAGGACGAGATGTCTGTTTATACACGAGTAATGGGGCGCATTGCATGCCGGGATGAGCTGCTGCCGGCCTCCGAGCTCCATTTCGAGGCCCGCCAAGCCAAGCACAATGCGCGCGGGAATGACGTCACACACACACGACTACAGCGATCGATCGATTTTTGGATGATAACGTCCTCTTTACATTTTCACGGAGAGAACATTTCCTGCAGGATTTCACGAGATATCTCTGGCGGGAGTAGGTAAGAACAAAGACCAGAGTTATAATTCGAACCCCCGCCATGTGCACAAACAACATGAATACGAGAGCAGGTAAGCAAGCGTGATCGCGAAATTCGCTCGACGCTCGCTTCATTTCACACGATCACAGAACAAAAACACATCCAACAGCTCCCATCTTGGTATCTATGTGTACATAAATGTTCACTCCGTGCGGTGTACTTTTGTGTTGCAGATGAGCATTTGACCGGCATTTACAGGTGATTATAGGCGAAATAGAGTAGAAAAACATTAAGACTTTGGTACATTTCGTGTTTATTTACCATTAATTTTTTTGATTGAGACGTTCCAAGTGCCTGTGATACGGAATACGCTGTATACGCGGTATATACGGAATAAAGATATACGAAAAGTCTGTGCATCAGTTGATGACACACAGAAATCTGTGCATCTCTTCGTGATACCTAAGGTGCCTAAAGTGGATTTGCGCTAATGGATAGACAAAACAATGTCATAAATTGTCAGCAATGTTTATTATAAATTTAACAATATGCCAAGATTAAATGACAAATGACATTTTACATGATTATATTTGTTTATAAAATTTTACAATGTTAATAATAGTTAGAATTGTAACGTTTACATGTTATTTTCTATATTCAATTATTGCAGAGCTGAGAGCGACGTGGAAGGTTCCCAGCATTGCACATTTCTGTTCCCTTTTCCGTGTTGCTTTTGACCTTCCAGATTTTGAAATTGAGGCAAGTTTAAGATTAGAGTTATAAAATAGATATTTTGTGATGGACCTGTATGCAGGGTTCTGCCCACGGTGGGCGGCAGTAGGCGGGTGTGCCCGGCACTAATTTTTAATATTAAAAAAAAAGAAGTTTGATATATATATGCTTTTTATTGCTCAGAATGCAGGAAATTGAGTTTCAGATTATCCAAAATCTAAAATTTTCCGAGGGGCATGCCCCGGACCCCCCTAGATTGGCTTCGCGCCTACAGCGCTTGCATCGGCGCAACTGGATGTGCCCGGCACTAAAAAATCCTGGGCAGAACCCTGTATATGGTAATAGATTTATTTTAATTCCAGTGCAAACTCTATTTTTTCTAGCATGACTTCAGCTAAGTCTTTAAGAATTAGTGTCAATTCTTTGAACCAGTGAAATGTTTTAGCTTTAATATGGAAGTCAAACTATTTGTGAAACATGGACTCAACTTTACTACAGTGATTATTCAACATACGGATGTTATTTTATAGGAACTGGAAGATGCTCTTCTGTCAGATTTCCCTCCAGAAGGCAATTATTTCATTGCTGATCTCATTTCCCGGTTGCTCAGTGGTTACTATGGAAACAAAGACATTGTGTATGTATGCTGTGATATGCGGGAAAAGCTGCAGGTTTAGAAATAATCGCATCTTTTTGCGCCTCTAATTCTGCTTAAGTTACGGTTAATTTAAGGGACTTAAATACACCTTTGATATAATAACAAAACTAAAAATCTAGAATTTTAGAAGTTGAAAAACAACATAGAATCGTTAAATTGTAAGTATGAAGCTTATTACTATGATTTTCATGTCGATTCTATGCATGCGTTTGTCCTGAAGAAAACAAATTGTGGACTGTATGTAAAATTATTAATTTTACCACCAGACAGTTGGCATGTAGTTTAAGCCGTCCGTGGTGTTATTGTTGGTCATGCCACAGTTTATGTTTACACTTTGGCATATTCTCTTATTTGCACCTGGTTGCATTTGGTTTTCATATCTGTGCGCATGCTCACGCACTGCTAACATGTTACCGTCGCGCCGGTTTCCCGTTGCTCCCGTCATGCCATCATTAACGCCGCGTCGGTTTCCCGCTGCTCCCATCATGCCCTCATTAACGCCGCATCGGTTTCCCGCTGCTCCCGTCATGCTCTCGTTAATCCCGCGTCGTCTGCCGCACGTCTGCAGGTCAGACAACTACTCGTCGTGGCTCGCTGACCTCCTGCGCTACCGCTGGACGGCGGAGACGGGCACGGAGAACCCGCTGTACGACCAGGACTTCATCGACCTTCCCCTACTGCACAAGGTCGAGATCCTGCTCACGCTCTGCGATTGGAGGCTGGAGCCGGAGGATGCTGCAGAGTGCCTGAAGGTGAGGCAGGGAGGGAGGGTGAGGCGGGGGAGGGAGGGTGAGGCAGGGGGAGGGTGAGGCGGGGAGGGTGAGGCTAGCGAGGGAGAGGTGAGGCAGGGAGGAGGGTGAGGCCGGGGGAGGGAGTGTGAGGCTGGGAGGGAGGGTGGAGGCAACGGAGGGAGGTGAGGCGGGGGAAGGGAGCGGGTGAGGGCAGGGGAGGGAAGGTGAGGCGGGGGAGGGAGTGTGAGGCCAGGGAGGGAGGGTGGAGGCAGGGGAGGGGAGGTGAGGCAGGGAGGGAGGGTGAGGCTTGTCCCGAGTAAGGGAAGGGAGGGTGAGGCATAAGCAAGAGAGGGTAGTAGGTGGGGGAAGCGAGGTGGGGGAGGAGGGAGGAGGGGGTGAGGGGCAGGGGAAGGAGGGTGAGGGCGAGGTGAAAGGAGGGTGAGGAGGGCGGAGGTGAGGCTGGAGGAGGGAGGGTGAGGCAATAGAAGGGAAAGGGTTTGAGTGCATGGAGTATGAAGGTGAGGCCGCAGGAGGGAGGGGAGGCGCAGTATAGGGAGGGTGAGGAAGGGAGGGTGAAGGCTGGGGAGGGAGGGTGAGGCGGGGGAAGGGAGTGTGAGGCTGAGGAAGTGAGGGTGAAGGCAGGGAAGGGAGGGTGAGGCAGGGAGGGAGGTGAGGCTGGGAGGGAAGGGTGAGGCGGTCGGAGGGAGGGTGAGGCTGGGAGGGAGAGAGGGGTGAGGCATAGAGGGAGGGTGAGGCAGGGAGGGAGGGTGAGGCTGGGAGGGGAGAAGGGTGAGGCATATAGGGGAGGGTGAGGGGGGAAGGGAGGGTGAGGCTGGGGAGGGAAGGGTGAGTGCTGGAAGGGAGTGTGAGGCTGGGAAGGCGAGGTGAGGCTGGAAGGGAGTTGTGAGGCAGGGGGGGAGGTGAGGCAGGTAAAAGGGAGGTGGAGGCAGGGAGGAAGGTGGAGGCAGGGAGGAGGTGTGGTGGGGGGGGCAGGGGAGTGTGAGGCAGAGAGGGAGGGTTTTAAGTATTTAAGCCATCGGTCTTCTTGAAGCAGTCTGGCAGCTCCCCTCGCTCATGGCACCAGCACGAAAACGGTGCCACATATGTGGCCGCCAAATTCAATTTCAGAAGCACTTATGCGAGTAGCTGTAATCGAGTTTGGCGCTCCCTCTTTAGGGTATAGGGATGACGATGCTGAGCCTGAATGCGTCGACCGAGAGTTCTGTTCATTAGGCAGGCGAGGGTTTTTGAGTAGCCACGAAGATGGTGGGCACGGCTCGAAATTGCGCCCACAAAGATTGTTGGGTAATGTGCTGGGAGCGTCCTATAGGGTCGCGTGCAAAGAAGCGGCGAGCATTTAAACGTTTTCCGTCGAGACAGCGGTGGTCGCGGCGAGGAAACTGCCATATCAGCCGAGCGGCGCGGGATGCGCTTGCTAGCAGGGGCAGGCAGCTCTGTTGGCTGGGGAAATTCGCGTGAGTTCGATTTATTTTTACGCCGTATCTAAACGCGGCCGGCGCCGGCGCTATGGCCCGTAGGGCAACGTGTACATAGTACACGTTTCAAAACATAGTCGTACCGGAAATTGAAGCCATTCTACATGAATTTAGCATAAAGGTTTCGCAACGGGGAAATTCACTGGCATAGGCTCACAAGGCGACGGCCAGTAGACTTATATGGTTAGAGGCGGCGGCTACGTGACAGATCAGTAGTCACTGTGACGCTGACCAGGCAGAAACGCCAGGGCGAAACATAACACGATCGGTCACTGGGCGGCGCATAGATTACTGGCATAAGCACGGCACACGGCACGACGAACTCGCACAGCACAGTTATGCACATTCCAGCGCACATGTTGCGCACGCATACTGCACATAGACGGCACAGGCAACACTAACGAGGCTGGTCCGGGCCGCACACCACAACGCGAGGAACAGACACAGGCCAAACACGCAGCGCGCGCAATGCACGCACACACGACCGGCAGACGGCTGCACACACACAGCACACGCAGCCTCGCAACAGCAGTGACAGCCGCCACTCAAGCAACAGCTTTGGGCGGCACACGGTTGGAGCAGGACACTGCATACCACACATCCACACACGCGCACGATCAGCAAGGAACACAGCAAACCACGCAACGCAAAAGCACGCACGCACGAACGCACGAGGGCAGCACGCACACGGCGTGACGTGCACTCGCACTACAAACTACACAGCCGCACGAGACGCACGAGCCCGCCGCACAGCGGCACTCATATGCACACTCACTACGCACATGTAGCACAGTCAGTGACACACTCACACGCACGACGCACACGCACGACTGGCACACGGCACACGGCAGCACAGACGGTTGCAACACGCACTAACGCACACACAGGTGATCACACTTGACAAGCACACCGGCGACACTGCACACACCCCACACAAGGACATCACAAACAACGCACGCCCACTGTGCACGCGACGCACCACGCAGTTATAAAATAGTAGTATGCCGGCGCTAGGGCCTAACCTATAACACCACCGCGCACGGGGGTTGAGCTGCGCCCCCCCTCTCCCCCATGGCGTCTCGTTCCGCCGCCTGTGTCCTGCGCACGGTGTCATTATATGACGGCAGCGGGCTATGGCGGCTGTAGGAACCGATGGCCTCAGATGAGTGATGCACATATGCCGTCCGATAGATGGGCTGCCAGCTAGTGCGACAAAAAATCGCATTGCGTTAGGCTGTTAGGGTTAGGGTGACTGTTTTTGTACTTTTAGGGATAGGGTCACTGTTTGTACTTGTGTGTGGCTGCACGATGCGTAGTGTAGGACCGTTTACTGCAGATAAGTGGTAGGCGTGACAAAATAGACGCGCAACGGCTAAGGCCCGATAGATTGGCGCCACTAAAGTCTACAAGCCTTTATGCCAGGTGCGTGCCGCCCCCCGCCCCAAATTGGACACTGTTTTCGCTGAGCGTATGCATTGCGTGCGCAGCGGCGCTGATGGATTTGGCGGCAGGCGGATGCATAGCTGCCAGCGCCCGATGACTACGTAGCAACGTTCCGCAGAGGGCGTAGCGCCTTGCGCCGCGAAGCTACGCGGCAACATCCAGGCGCTCGCGTCAGGATGAATGCTTCCTTTGCGAATCGGGGCTCTCTATGTAAATCGCTGGTTCTCTCGCTCTGCGACGGACTTGGGCGGCCCCGGTGTTTTTGCGCGCAGACTGCGCGCGAAGCCGCGCCCTTGCAAACAAGCGAATACGCCGGCCACCCGTGTTGTCGGCACTTTAGACAGATACCTTCAGACAAGGGGTCTGAAAGCGAATACTGCCGCGAAAACTGGGCGCATCCACCGACATTTCGCGATGGACGGCTTGAGCCATCTCTCAAACGGCCGCGCTAAAACTTTTTTGGGGGTGGCGCGCCTCAGGCTAAGACGTATGTGGCTTCTAAGACAAGAAATCCCAAGAAATGCTTGTCAAATCAGCGATGAGCGCTTGCGTCATTGGCCGGCTACGTCGATGAACGTGCGGCTACTGCCGATGTATAGCGTTATGTTATCGCAGGCAGAGCTTTTAACGAAGTGTCCGTAGCGGCGGCTCCACGTGGGGGCGCGGTCTAGATGCTATCTCCAAAAGTGGCGGGGGCCGCCGTGGCGCCGGCCTGGCTGCGTAACGCCAAGGTTTCGAGCCAACCTGGCCTGACGCCCTGAGCGCTGTCCCGTGGGCAGACGGCACGTCGTGGTGCGAGCAACCTGCGGCTGGCGTGGCCGGCGTGGCTGGCGTGGCAATCGGCAGCAGCAGCACCAAATACGGTGCCTGCTAGGCTGCTGCAGCGCGGGCTCTGAGGGGCAGCAAAGCAGCAGCAGGCAGGAAATGGCGGCGCTCCCAGCTAAGGCCCGCCGTAGTCAAGCCGGTGTACGTCTGACGAAAACTGGCGCGATGTTACGGCTTACCTCCGCACTATAGGGATTCGCGCGCTGGTGACACCCTGCCTTCGGCGCGCGATTCGTATAGCGGGCAGCGGCGAGATGCTAGCATAGCAACACCCCGGCGGCGCGTGCGCCCAGTCCCAGCGGAAGTGTGCGGCTTAACGGCGCTCTCGGCGGCGGGAATAACAGCATCTTTGCACAATGCCATCTTGTACCTGGTCTCTCTGGGTGAGAGCGAGTGGGGAGTCTCGCTGCGACTAGTGCTTGACTTAAACTAAAGTGGATAAACCTCGCAACATAAATTCTATATCACAGAAAGAACTGTTAATGCAGGGCTCAACTTTTCACTCGCTGTGTACCGGATATGTGTAAACGCTGTAAGACATCCTGCTGTGCTAAGCTTTCGTAAACTCTTGAGTTTAGATTTTAATGAAGAAATTGTTGTTGAAAGTAGCAATACAAACTAGAGCACTCGGAGAGCACAGACCTCCGCCAAGGCAGCTGAATTCTCTCACTAAAAGATTTTATTTATTAATTAATTAATTAAGTGAAAATTCTTATTAATTAATTTAATTAATTAAATAAATCATATTGGAATCGGATCACCACGGCAAATGTAATAAATTCGAAGTTACGCCTCCATTTGCTGACCTATCGCTGAAAATTTTTATTAATTAATTAATTGGATTCGGATACGTCACCCAAAAATGTAAATCAATTCATAAGTTAGCCCCATTTCTGACCTATGCTGAAAATTTAATTAATTAATTAATTAATTGGATCCGGATGCATCACCAAAAATTCAAATCAAAATTCTAAGTTAAGGCGATTTCTGCCTATTCTGAAATATTTTATGACAATCCGTGCCATAACTTTGTCCAGTTAGGCTGTACACAACCACACAACCGCAGCAACGCAACATAACAAGTCAAACACAGCGCGCGGTGAAAACAAACCTCTGGCTGCCAACCCGCTTGGCGGAGGTAATAAATAGTGAATCTTTTCAACATAGGCGAGCTCAACAGTAGGTATACATATGCATCTAGCTGTGAGGTTTTATCCACTTTAAACCTTGTAGGGTCTTGACTGCGGACAGCATGGCATCGAGCCGCTGGGCAGGATGTCGAGAACGGCCAAGCTACTGGTAAGCTTGCTATGGGCACAAGGCTCTAGCAAGGAGGACGGCGCTCCACTCCACCACCGCCCCGAACCGAGACGGCGGAAAAGGAAGGAAGAAAAAGATGATGACCCCCAGCCTCCCATAATGCTTTATAAGGTGTCATGTGCTTTGCATCGTCATTGAGACGTAGTGCGCTAGATATGAAGTCCATCAATCTTATCGTCATATGTCTGGCTTATTCTATTTGTATATTGGGTGACTTTCAAAGATGTGAACACTTAGAATGTGAACTTAGATTAGAGCTTTAGAATGTGAAATTTCTTGTGTTATATATGGTATATATAGACTGGTTGCCGGTGTGTTTTTGTGTCTGTTTTGAAAATACATCATATATGTGAATAGTTTGGCTCCTGACCGAAGTTTGTTAACAACCACCACCATTATTTGCCGCCGGGGCAGCCTCTAACAGTCGGCGTGTTTCAGGGAGGAAGCTGTTGAGAAAGAAGCAAAGAGGGGAAAGAAGAAGGAGTTTGGAAAAGAAGAGAAGCAGCGGCAGAAGAAGAGTAGGCAAGGAGAAGAAGCAGGACAAAGCGGCTGGGCGGTAAGCTGCAAAGAAGCAGGAGGCTCGTGCGAAACGTGCAGAGAAGAGAGGCCACGCGGGCAAGGCTGAGGTCAAGCCTGAGGTCAAAGCCTGAAAGTTCCTGCGCTGAGTGTCAAGGTTGAGGTCAAAGTTGAAGGAACCGGTCGCCCTCCGCCGGTGAAGGGCGGGCAGGGGAAAGACGCACGTGAAGTATCCTAGAAAGGAAGATATTATTGCTGCGCACAAAAGGGCAAGCCATAGGAGGAGTGAAGGGCCCTGGAGCAGGAAAAGCCCTAGAGCAGGAAAAGCTAAGAGCAAGAAGAAGCCCTAGAGCAAATAAAAGCATCAAGCAGGAAAAAAAAAGAAAAGGAGCAGAAAGAAAGTCGTAGAGTTGAGGGCCAATTGGTCCACAGACTGGGTGAAGATCAGGGGCAGACTGCACGGAAGTATCCGAGAAAGGAAGATATTATTGCTGCGGGCAAAGAAAAGGCAGCCATGGAGAAGCAAAGGGCCCTGAGAGCAGGAAAAAAGCCTTAAGAGCAAGAAAAAGCCCTAGAGCAAGAAGAAGCCCTTAGAGCAAGAAAAAGCCATCAAGCAGGAAAAAAGATGAGGAGGGCAGAAAGAAGATCGTAGATTGAGGCCAATTGGTCACAGACCGTGTGAAGATCAGGGGAAGAAACGCGCGAAGTATCCGAGAAGGAAGATATTATTGGCTGGCAGGTCAACAAGAAGGCACGCCATTGAGGAGCAAAGGCCGCTAGAGCAGAAAAAAGCCGCTAGAGCAGGAAAAAGCCTTTAGAGCAGAAGAAGCCGCTAGAGCAAGAAAAAGCCATGCAAGACAGGAAAAAGATGAGGAGGCAGAAGCAAGTCCGTAGAGAGCCGATGGTGCCCCAGACCAGGGAAGGTCCAAAATGAGGAGAAGAGGTGGAGGTGAAGGTGAAGGTCACAGACCAGGTGAAGGTCACAGATGAGTAGACTGGTGGAGGTGAGGTGAAGGTCACAGACCAGGTGAAGGTCACAGATGAGTAGACTGGTGGAGGTGAGGTGAAGGTCACAGACCAGGTGAAGGTCACAGATGAGGAGAATGGTGGAGGTGAGGTGAAGGTCACAGACCAGGTGAAGGTCACAGATGAGGAGAATGGTGGAGGTGAGGTGAAGGTCACAGACCAGGTGAAGGTCACAGATGAGGAGAAGGTCAGAGATGAAGAGAAGATCACAGATGAGGAGAAGGGTAGAGCAGAGGAGACCGAGGTGAACGCAGAGAAGCCTCTGGAGGATGGAGTCTGCGAGAAGCCGATTAAACAAAGGCGGAAGAGGAAACAACAAAGCAGGTGAGGCTAGCAGGGTTCAGAGGGCCTTGAACACTTCCATGCAGTCAGCGGTGGCCAGGGCATGCAGATATAAGGGGTCGTTCACAATTATCAACATTTTCACAAGTGTACAAAGCATACACTTTTTCGAGACCCTTCCCCTCTAAAAGTGTACGAAGAAAAATGTTGATTTTTTTTTCACACTATTCTACATAGAGATACATCAGGAGTTAATAATGGCAAATGATGACGTTTGTCATTGTTAACCCCTGAGATACATGTATATGAATTACATGCAAAACTGCCATCGTGCCGGTTGTTTACACTGCACTCGGCTGCTAGCTAGCTAGCTAGCTCGGTTCGTTCATTCAGCGGGCCCGTGCGGTGCGCGGGGCCAGCCGGGGCTCGGCGCGTCGCGATGTGAGGATGCGCGCGATGCCGGCTGGGGCGCGCGGCGCGGGAAATGGATCGACATTTTTCGGAAATGCTGAAAGCATACGGCGGGCATTGACCCCCTCCCCCCCCCAGCGTACGGTTTGTACGATTGTGAAAATGTTGATAACTGTGAACGACCCCTAAGATATATAAGATATAACGTTTTATTTATCGCTTTCAATATTAGCAAGTACAAGAATTTTAACAAAGCAAATAATAAACAATACAGCGAAGGGATGACGAAAAGACCATACGGTCATGCAGGTGTTTTTCCTCACGTTAACATTGTATTATCACGTCACACATTGGGGAAGATGTCTGTATCACGAAGAGATTATTCAGGTTCATATCCGTGAGCATGTCTTGGCCATATATTATGATATCGAATGGCTCAGGGGCGTGTACAGGGGGCGGGGGATTCTGCTCGCGCAGAAAACGCATCTAAGGGGGTCTAATTTCTAAATTTTTCTGGGGGTGG